CCAGCTCACCCCACAGACTTACTCAGACGTCTCCAAGTCCCTCTTTGCCCTACAGAACAGATCAGAGGGGGGGGGGGGGGGAAAGAAACAACCGACAAAGCAGGCGGTGAGAAAGCGGTCACCCCCACACTGCCCCAAGGCAAAGGGGCACCACATCAGCTCCCCACACCCCACCCAGGGGGGGAAGGGACGTGACTCCCCCCCCCCCCCAAGTGCCCAACTCACACTCCCTCCCGACGGCAGCACATGAGGTGGCCCAGCACCACGCACAGCACCGCAGCCACCGCCAGCGGCACCAGCAGCGTCACCAGGAAAGCAGGCAGCAGATCTTGGGGGGGGGATGAGGTGGGGGGCTGGAAATCCCCGCTCCCTTCCAACACCCCGGGACCCCACACCAGCCCTGGTGCTGTGGGGGTGGGCAGCACCCGCAGCTGGAAAGGAGAGGGAGGTCAATGTCAGGCACGGCCTGGGGGGTGTGGGGGGCTGTGGGGTGGGTCTCACCAGGGTGAGGTTGCACCAACGGATGGCAAAGTGGGGTGCGAAGGTGTCGTAGCAGGAGGCGAGGGGCTGCTGGCCCAGACGGCAGTGGAAGAGGCTCTGCGGAGAGCTGGCAGCCAGCAGGCAGGGGGAGAAGGCAGCGTGGGAGCCCACCTTGACGTACACCCTGCATGGCACGGACGCCACGGGATGACACCCCGAGACCACCGCCAACCCCCCCCTGTGGATCCAACCAAGATTCTCCCATCACCCCCCCACCCCCCAGCCGGCCCCATACCCCTCCTTGCGCCCCTCGATGGGCAGCGGGACGCGGCCCCCCCTGTCCAGAGCAGAGGTGATGTTGATGATGTGGACGTCGTCGTGCTCCCACACTGCAGACACTGCCTGCACAAACCGCTCCTGCACGGCCTCCGGCAGCAGCTCCTCCACGTTGTGGTTCCCCACCAGGAACTCACCCTGGTAGGGGGGATCCCCCTCTGCGGGATGTGGGGGGATCCATGGGGGCTGCTGCACATCCCCCCGTGGGGCTCAGGGACAGAGATTTGGGGAGGGGGACAGGAGGGGGGGGGGAAGCCTCACCTGGAGAGGGGACGATGGAGATGATGAGCCGCTGTGCCGCTGTCTCATAGCTGAGCCGGTTGGCCGCCAGCACCTGCATGGTGACTGATTGCAGCACTCCGTGCCAAGCCCTTGCACGAGGCCACGCACTTTGCACAAAGTTGCATGCTTTGCACGAGGCCACGCACTTTGCACGAGGTTGCATGCTTTGCACGAGGCCACGCACTTTGCACGAGGTTGCATGCTTTGCACGAGGCCACGCACTTTGCACGAGGTTGCATGCTTTGCACAAGGCCACGCACTTTGCACGAGGTTGCATGCTTTGCACAAGGCCCTGCACTTTGCACGAGGTTGCATGCTTTGCACAAGGCCACGCACTTTGCACGAGGTTGCATGCTTTGCACAAGGCCCTGCACTTTGCACGAGGTTGCATGCTTTGCACAAGGCCACGCACTTTGCACGAGGTTGCATGCTTTGCACGAGGCCACGCACTTTGCACGAGGTTGCATGCTTTGCACGAGGCCACGCACTTTGCACGAGGTTGCATGCTTTGCACGAGGCCACGCACTTTGCACGAGGTTGCATGCTTTGCACGAGGCCACGCACTTTGCACGAGGTTGCATGCTTTGCACAAGGCCGTGCACTCACAGGACCACACGCTCACACAGGGTGGCGTGCGCTGCATGGGGTCACGCGCTTTGCACAGAGGTGATGGACTCTGCACAGGGCTGCTTGTTTTTTGCACAGGGTTCGTGCACTTTTGCACTTACCTCGATGATCTGCGTGCCCACCTCTGCAGCAGTGGGGCTGCCATAGAGGAATGCTGAGCTGTGGGGCCCACGCTGGGCGCAGCGCAGCCACCGGGGCAGGTCGGGGTGATCCCAGAGGTGGGCATGGAAGGTGATGGGGGGAGCTCCTGGGTGTCGGGATGCACGGACAGACGTGGGGACACAGGGACGTGTGCCATCAGGAAGGACCCCGCAGCGCAAGGCCTCCCCAGCCCACGTGTCCCCATTGGTTTGGGCCCGTGAAGCGTCCTGCTCCTCTTTTTGAGTGAGATATCCCTAATATGGGGTAACCTCCCATATTAGTGTGCGTGCTGGGCAGATGGGATGGAGCCGTGCTCGAGAGCAGGAGGTCCCGGGGTGGGTGAAGGGGTGGGGGCACACAAGAATGTGTGGAGGGATGGATGGATGGGCGGACAGGTGGATGGACGGAGGGATGGACTGCTGAAGGCTAGGAGGAAGGGACACACAGCCCACCTGAGTTACGCCTGCCAGGGACAAATGTAAGCCAGTGCCCCTCAGGATCAATCCTGGACCTCCCCCAAGCCCAGCCCTGCAGGACACCCCCTACCCCGCTCCCCTCTGCCCCATCCTTACCATCCTCCTCCTCGCTCTCACTGAGGAAGGCCTCCTGGAACAGCTCTCTCTCCAGCTCATGGACAAAGATGGCTCCAGTCTCGAGGGAGATGCGGTGGTCGGGGAGGGAGATCTGGGTGCCCCCCAAGGTGGTCTGGGTGCCCCCCAGGGCCAGGGCTGCGGTCAGGAACAGGGCTGGAGCCACAGTGGAGGCACAGCTCCTCCCTGCCTCAGTTTCCCCATTTCCAGCAGCCCCGCGGCACACGTGGCCGCCCCCAGGACACGTGTCCCAACAGTGCCAGCTATATTTAGGAGGTGCTGGGGAGGGGGACAAGAATGGGGACGGGGACATGGATAGGGACAGCCCCTTCCCCTCACCCTGCTCCCACCAAACACAGGGATCCCCTCTGTCCCCTCTGTCCCCTTGTCACCAACTCCCCACCCCCAAGGACTGGATGGATTTACCCAGCTCTCCCATTGGCACCCCCCACCCCTGAGGGTCCCCCCACCCCCCCTCCCCATGGGGAAACCCCCAGCCGTGTCCCCACGCTGCTGCTGGGGCTGCCACTCGCCTGCCAGAGCCCAGAGCCACAGCAGGGCGGCCGCCTCCATCTTCTCTGGGAGCACAGCCAGCGCCTGAGTGACAGTGACAGCAGGGTGGCACGGAGGGGGGCCCCGTCTGGGGGGGGGGGGGGGGGGGGAAGGGGAATGGATGGGACAAACCCCTGCCAGCCCGGCCCTGTGCCACCGCTCCTGGGTGGCAGAATGGCAGCTGGGCTGTGGGATGAGTGGGGGGGTCGGAAAGGGCTCAGAGCACCATGGGTGGGGGGGGCACAGTGGGGCACAGTGGGGCACAGTGGTGTGGGATTGTGCACAGTGGGGCCACTGAGGGGAACAAGAGGGCACGACAGGACGCAGTGGGGCACAGCAGGATGCAGTGGGGTGTAGCGGGGTGCAGCGAGGCCGTAGGGAACAGCAGAGCACAGGGGGATGTAACTGGGCACAGCAGAGCACAACAGGACATCACGGGACACGGTGGGGCACGACGGGGAGCAGTGCGGCCCAGCGTTGCACAGTGGGGCACAACAGGATCCAGGTGGGCACAGCAGGGCGCTATGGGGCACGACGGAGCACAGTGGGGCCCAGCAGAGTGAGGTGGGGATGAAGGGACGTGGTGGGGCACAGTGGGATGGCTTTGTGCCACAACGGGGCACGACAGCACGACGCGTCACCTCGGGATGTGGGGACACTTGGGGACAGCTGAGTGCCTGCCAGCACAGCAGAAGCGGTGCGCTGCACACGCGTGTGCGCAGGGGTGGATGGAGAGCACGCGTGTGCACATGTATGTGCGTGCACGGGGTGGAGATCCAAGGCTCCCCCAGCAGTGAGTGGGACTGGAGGGGGGGGTGGGGATGCTGTAGGGCTTTGGGGGTGAGCAGGCCCTGCAGCGGAAGGGGAAGGGGGGGGTCGGGGGGGAGCCGTCGCTCTGCGCTGCGTCACATCGCGTCACGCACAAAGGGCCGGCGCTGCAGGGTCCTGCTGCCCTCGTCTGCATTCATGCAGGGGCCTGTGGGGATGGCGCTTGGTGGGGGAGGGGGGTGGTGTCCCCGTTTTGGCCCCCAGCCTGCATGGGGTGCGGTTGTTTTGGGGGCGCTGGTCATAAAAGGGCCCCGAAGTGGGGCTGCGCTGTGCGCTCTGGTTCCTACGGTGTCTGTATGCACTGGGAAGGGAGTAAAACCCCAGTAACAAGCCCAAAATATTCCTCCACCTGACCCCCTGGTCAAGGTGTGGGTGGGTTGGCAGTGCCTTGGGGAGGGGGGCGGGGGGTTATGGAAACAGAAACCAAATGGGGACCCTATAGGGACATCAAGAGGCACCCCAGAGCAGGGTTTGGAGGAGCTCTGGGTTCATGGGGACCAAAGGGATCAGAGCAGGGAATGCGTGGGCAAATCTGGAGGGGCACAGGGATGGGAGAGGGGGACGTGGGGACAGCCAGCAGGGGCACAGGGACAGGGGGGGACATGGAGAAAAGAATGGGGGATATGGTGTTAACACCGAGAGGATATGGGATGGGGCACAAGGGAACAAAACTGGAGGGACTCAGGGATGGGGGGGGGGGGTATGGGGACGGGGGGTGTGTGTACAAAGGTGGGGGGCACTTGGCCAGAACTGGGGAGACCCAGGGACCATCCTGGAGGCTGTGGGGATGGAACTGAGGATGCAGAGGGGCAGCGCTGGGGGTTCCCAGAGCTGTCATGGGGGACCCCGGGCATGGAGGGTTGAAAGCCTCGGGGGAAGGGGGTGGACGTGGGGACGGCGCTGGGCTGTGGGGACAACGCACAGTGCCAAGGGAGGGGGGGAGAAATGCGGTCCCAACCATGTGGAAGGGATGCAGTGGGACAGCGGGGGGCTGAGGGGAGGGGACGCCGGTGGCAGCAGGCTCAGCGCCAGCAGCGTTCCGGGGCCGGGGGGGACACACACAGAGCTGTGGGCATCCAGCAGAGAGGCCGAAGCGCAGCGGTGAGGAAGAGGAAGAGCAGGAGAGCGTCGCTAAGACCCAGAGGGCTCTGCGGGCAGCGGGGCGGGCGGATCGCGGGCGGCAGCGCTCCATCACCAGCGCAGAGAGAAAGGGGAAGAGGAGGAGGAGAAAGGAGGAAGGAAGGAAGGAGGGCCGGGGCGGAGGGGGGGGGCGCGCTGGGCCCCCCCAGGCTGGCGATGGCCTGACCGGGTCCCCGCGGCCCCCCAGCACGGCCCCCTCCCCGTGCCCAGCGGGCGGCGGGCGATGCGGCGCGGCGGTGACGGAGGTTTCGGGGCAGGATGCTGAGGACGGAGGCAGCGAGCGGGGCGGCAGCCCCGGGGGGCAGCGGGGGGGCCCCGGGCAGCGGGGCGGGCAGCGGGGGGTTGAGGAGCGCGTCCCCGCACCGCAACGCGTACGAGGCCACCATCCAGGCCCTGAAGCCCACAAAGGATGCCGAGGGCGAGGACGGCAAGAAAGCCCGCAGCAAGAAGTATGGCTCCAACGTCCATCGCATCAAGAACATGTTCCTGCAGATGGGGACGGCGCCGGGCCCCGAGGGCGCCTGCGACTTGGCCAAGGGCAAGGAGAAACCCGTCCGCCTCTCCCTGCCCCGCGCCGGCAGCCTGAGCGATGGCATGGAGCAGGGCAGCCCGCTGAAGCTGGGCACCAGCGTGTCCGAGAGGGTGAGCCGCTTCGATTCCAAGCCCGACAAACCCTTCTCCAAGCTGCAGGAGACCCGTAAGATCTTCGAGAGGAGCCCGCAGGAGAAGGAAACCACCACCAAGCTGCTGCTGCGCAAAGAGCGCGCCGGCTTCCAGGACCGCAAGCTGGACGTGGTGGTGAAGTTCAACGGCAGCACCGAGTCCTTGGATAAGCTGGACACCGAGGCCGTGTCGCCCACCGTCAGCCAGCTGAGCGCCGTGTTCGAGAAGGCTGACCTGAGGAACAACCTGCACAAGACGCCGGGGCGCGCAGGGCCGCTCAACTCCAAGCTGGTGAGCAAAAGGTCCCGCGTCTTCCTGCAGGGCGGAGAGGGTGGCAAAGCCGAGGGCTGCGCAGAAGGCAGCGCTGCGCCCGCACGGCCGCGTCCTGCGGAGGAGGAGAAGGTGATGGGCAAAGCGCCGAGGTCGGCGGAGAAGGATGGGAGCGTCCCGCGCGTGCAGGAGGTCTGCAAGATCAAACCTGTGGAGGTGGAGGAGAGCGGAGAGTCGGAGGCGGAGGTGGAGGTGAAGGAGCCCGCGGCTGCGGCCGAGGTGGCCAAAGGGGCCGAGGGGTCGGTGGTCCCCGAACCGTGCCTGGATGGGGGTGAGGAGCCCCCCGACGCCAAGGAGGGAGGCAAGGGTGAGCGGGTGGAGGAGAGCGAGCTGTACGATGAGTCCAAGAAGGAGGACTTCTCCGAGGCGGACCTGGTGGACATAAGTGCCTACAGTGGGCTCGGGGAGGACTCGGGGGGCAGCGGGTTGGATGAGGATGAGGAGGCGGATGGGCTCTACGAGCCCGAATCCAGCTGCATGGAGATCCCGGGGCTGTCTGAGGAAGAGGAACCCGTTCCCAATCGCAAGATCCAGTTCAGCACGGCGCCCATCCAGGTGAGTCCGGCCGTGGTGCTTTGGGGTCTCCAAAGAAGGGAGAAGAGGGGAGTTTTGGGGGTCCCCGATCATCCAGCGATGAGATTGGAAGCCATGGAGATGGGAAGCTCCTGGCCAATTGGCCATGGCCAAGCTTGGGCAGCCTCTATGGAATGCTGATGGCCCAGCATGGGGAAGGGCAGAGGGTCTGCGATGTGCCCAACATGAGCCCCCCGGGAAGCTGGGAGCTGTGCTGCTGGGGACGCACGGCCACGTGGGGAGGGGAAAGGGACACGGAATGGGGTGGAGACCTTGGCTGTGAGATATTGTGTTGGTGGCACGTGGAGGACACTGGGATCTGATGGCACGCACTTCCAACCCACCAGGGTGCACCAGGGCGGGCTGGGACTCATTTTGGGAGGGAATGAGCAAAATATTCATCCAGGCCCCAGATCCTGCCAGGTGCCACCGGGCCGGACCTGGTCCCCGGGACCTGTCAGTGCTGGGTCTCCCTCCAAACTGCCACCCCTGCAGGGAAGGTTGATGCCCACCCCCCCTGGGCTCAGCACTGGGACCATTTCGGGAAGTGGAGGAAAGGGAAGTGCCTCACGGGTGGGCGGGTGCCAGCGGCGAGAGCTGCTCATCCCCCTCCTTGTCCCCACACGGGGGACAGCGTTGGGATTTGGGGTCCCCATATCACCCCCACCGTGTGCCAGCGATGGCACGGAGGGCGATGGAGGCCGTGCCGTCATTTCAGGGCTTTCTCTCGTGCTCGTATCCCCCCGGCTGGAGGAACAGAAATTGCTTTGTGCCTGGCTGGGTTATTTATAGCAGCACGGCCTATATTCTGGCTCTGAGTCAGCGGCGGGTGGGTGGCCCCACCTGGGATGGGACGCTGGCACCGTGGTGGCACCGCGTGGGGATGGGGTCCCATGGTGGCCGCGCGCTGCTGGCTGTGCGCCGGGGCTTCTGCACGGCGGGGATCGGCCGTCTGGGCTCCAGGAAGGAATCCCTGCTGTGGAGGTGCAGATGTGCTTTGTGGGGTGCTCTGCTCCCCCCCGTCTTTGTCCCCTGCTCTGTCCCTCTGTGGGGTGCGGTGGGCACACAGTTGTCCCAGCACCTGTCAGCATCCCGAGCCCCCAAACCATGGGAGCACCTGGGGACACCCCCAGCGCCTGCAGAGTGGGGATGGGGGTCCCTGCTGCCAGCCCCCTCCCTTGGCACATTTGCTCCCTCCTTCTGTGTCTCCTCTGGGAACTGCTCCAGGTCCCCTGCACGTCTCCAGCACTCCGAGGACTTGGGGACAGCACTCAGGGGCACAGTGGGACAAGCAGGGGCCATACCTGACCCCTCTGGGTACCCCGTGCAGATGTGGGGCAGGTACCCGGCTTGTCCCTGGGGGTGCCACCCCGGAGGGTCCTGCTTGTCTCGGTGTCACCAGGCTTTGTGCGATGGCCCTTGACACTCATCCCTAATACCCTTTGTGCAAGGCTTTAGCAGCGTGGTGTTAGCCCTAATCCACTCGCCCTGCAGCACTGCGGCCCCTCTGGGGACATCTGCCACACTCAGTGCCTGGGTGACCCCCCCCCCCCCCAAGTCTGGAGCACAGCATTGCGTTGGTGTGCACAGCACTTGTGGGGTGCAAAGGAGGGCAGAACTGTCCCCTTCCTGGCTGCTGTAGTGCTTTGGCCCTTGAGGAGATGCTGGGCTGGGAGCTGGGGAGTCCCTCGCTGGGGAAGGGAGGAGGATGAGGCTGGAGCAGGGCAATGGTCAGGTCTGCACCCCCAAATTGCGTGACTTGGAGCAGCCACTGCTTGTGCGCCCCATCTGGCTCCCACCCATCCACCCATCCCTCTGCCCATCCATCCGTCCATACCCATCTATGCTTGGTCCATCTGTCTGTCCAACCACCCCTCCCTCCATCCCTCCATCCGCCCATCCATCTGTCCATCCCTCCATCCAGCCCGGGATGCAGAGCACAGAACCCCCATCTCCCAGCACATCCCAAGCCCTCCATTCTTCCTCAGACTCCTCCTCATCCCACCGTGTGCTGTGCTGGAGATTCTCCCATGGCTCCTAGGATCCACCACCCCCATGCCCCGTCCCTTTCACCACCTCCCTCCCACCTCAGGTCTTCAGCACTTACTCCAATGAGGACTACGACCGCCGCAATGAAGATGTTGACCCCATGGCTGCATCAGCAGAGTATGAGCTGGAGAAGAGGGTGGAGCGGCTCGACCTCTTCCCCGTGGAGCTGGAGAAAGGTGGGTCCCATCCCTGTCCTGTGCTCCGGGGCTCACTTGGCTCCTTGGGAAGGACCCTGAGGTGACTCCTGCTCCTGGGTATTTTGCTGCTGCCCCATTGGGACACGGATCTCTGTCTCCACAGATGCTGCAGGGCTGGGAATCAGCATCATCGGCATGGGCGCAGGGGCTGACATGGGCCTGGAGAAGCTGGGCATCTTCGTCAAGACGGTGACGGAGGGAGGGGCGGCCCACCGGGACGGCAGGTATGGGATGCCCACCCCCAAACTCCACCCTGGCTCCTGCTGGCGGCATTTGGAGCTGGGAGGTGTCTGGGGGTTGGGCAGGGGACGGTCGCGCTGTGACGGTCCCCTTGTCCTCAGGATCCAGGTGAACGACCTCATCGTGGAGGTGGATGGCACCAGCCTGGTGGGAGTGACGCAGAGCTTCGCTGCCTCCGTGCTCAGGAACACCAAGGGCCGTGTCCGGTAGGGCCCAGGGCTGGGGATGTGGGGGCAGGCATCCCCCACAGCGCTCCCACTGCATCCCGGCAGTGGGGATGCTGCCCCACAGCATCCCTGCTCCCTCCTGTTCCCATGCCCACTGCCTGCCCTGTGCCACTTTGCTCCCACAAATCCCCCCCAGGACAGCGTAGGATGCCCCTCTATCTCAGACACAGGCCCTGTGATGTCCTCCCAGATTTGTCACTACCTGAGTGTCCCCCATCTGAGTCCCCCAGTTGTCCCCCAGCTGTGCCACCTCCACGTCCCCATCTGAGCCTCTCCATTTTCCCCCCAGCTGTGCCACCTGGGGGGCACACTCAGCACATTGCCCCCACTCTCGGTTCCCTGCCGCCACCCGTGCCCTAAGCTGTCCCCAGGCGAGTGCCCGCTGTCCCCACAGGTTCCTCATCGGGCGGGAGAAGCCAGGTGAGCAGAGTGAGGTGGCCCAGCTGATCCAGCAGACGCTGGAGCAGGAGCGGTGGCAGCGGGAGATGATCGAGCAGCGCTACACGCAGTACACTGAGGATGATGAGGAGGTGAGGGCAGCGCAGACGTGGCCCTCACTGCCTGGGCTGACTCGGTTTCCCTGGGTGGGGGGCTGCTGTGTGCCAATGCTGCTCTGTGACCGCTGCAGACAGGGGAATACGCCACGGATGAGGAGGAGGAGATGAGCCCCATGTTCCCCAGCAGTGAGATGGCCATCGAGGTGTTCGAGCTGGCCGAGAACGAGGACACGCTCTCCCCCGTTGAGATGGACCCTGAGAAGCTGGTGCACAAATTCAAGGAGGTGAGGAGGGCCCAGGGGGCACATGGGGGTGGGGTGGGGGTGTCCCACCATGTTGCCATACCCTGCAAATGCCCGGCTCCTCTTGCAGCTCCAGATCAAGCATGCTGTCACCGAGGCGGAGATCCAGCAGCTGAAGAGGAAGGTGAGCAAGTTCCTTCATCCCTCCATTTCCCCCCCTAGATCCCCACACCTCTCCCCCACAGCCCACCCAGAGGTGCTGTGCCACACTGTGCCATGCTGTGCCATTCCTGCTCTTTGGCCATGGCAAGCCATCCCATGCCATTCCATCCCATGCCATGCCTTCCCATGCCATGCCTTTCCATGCCATGCCTTTCCATGCTGTTCCATTCCGTGCTGTGCCACACCTGCTCTTCGGTCATGCCATTCCATCCCATGCCACTCCATGCCATGCCATATCTGCTTTTTTGGCCAAGCCAAGCCATCCCACGCTGCACTATTCCACGCCATCCCATGCAATGCTGTGCCCTGCCGTGCCCTGACCCTGCTGTCCCCCAGCTGCAGTGCCTGGAGCAGGAGAAGGCACGGTGGCGGGCTGAGAAGGCCCAGCTGGAGCAGAGCGTGGAGGAGAACAAGGAGCGCATGGAGAAGCTGGAGGGGTACTGGATGGAGGCACAGAACCTGTGCCAGGCGGTGGATGAGCACCTCAAGGAGACACAGGCCCAGTACCAGACCCTGGAGCGAAAGTACAGCAAGGCCAAACGGCTCATCAAGGAGTACCAGCAAAAGTGAGGGCAGGGCCCTGGCTGCTGATCCTCTCCCGGGGCACCCACCCCCCTCCCAGGCACCCCTCGTCCTGGATACGCGCTGTCCCTTGGGACTCACACCCCAGGCAGAGTCCATCTCCCGGGCATGGGCCGTGCCCTTGGTGCAGACCCGTCTGTGAGGCAGCACCTCCTCGCCAGGCACAGCTCTGTCCTTTGCCACGGTCTCGTGAGCATCGACTCCTCCTTGAGGCACTGAAGGTGTCCTGGGCTGCCTTCATCTGCGGGCATAGAGCGTCTGTTGGGCACGGACCATCCCCTGGGCATGGAGCATCCCACTGACTCCTCCTCAGGGCACCAAACCCTTCCTGGGTACCCCTTGTTCCTGGGCAGGGATGAACCCTTGGGCATGGAGCATCTGTTGGGCTTGGACCATCCTCTGGGCGTGGACCATCCGTCCTCAGGGCATGGAGCATCCCTTGGCCATTGATCCCTCTTCAGAACACCAAACCTTTCCAGAGCATCCTTTTTTGTCTTGACATGAACCATTTCTTGGGCATGGAGCATCCTTTGGGCATGGACCATCCATCCCCTACACATGGTCTGTTCCCTGGGCATCCATTCCTTTTCAGGGCACCAAACCCTTCCTGAGCATCCTTTTTTTTTTCCTGGGCATGGATCATCCCTTAAGCATGGAGCATCCCTTAGGCATAGAACACCCCTGGGCACGAAGTATCTGTTGGGCATGGACAATACTCTGAGCATGGACCATCCAACCCTTATCCATAGACCATTCCCTGGGCATGGATCACGCATCCCTTACACATGGAGCATCCCCTGGGCATCCATTCCTCTTCAGGGCACCAAACCCTTCCAGGGCATCCTTTTTTATCCTGGGCAATGGATCAGCCCTTAGGCATGGAGCATCCTTTAGGCGTAGAACATCCCTTGGGCACGGACCATCCTTTGGGCATGCACCATCCAGCCCCTATTCGTGGAGCATCCCCTGGGCATCCATTCCTCTTCAGGACACCAAAACCTCCCTGGTCACCCCTTCTCTCTGCAGACAAACCCTGAGGAGAAACCGCCCGCTGTGAGATCCACGGCACAGATTATCCTCTACACCCAAACCCCAGCATCCCCCTCCCCACCTCCCTGCCCCAAGGAGGGGGGCACAGACGCCCATCCCAGCGCCGCACACCCACACTCTGTCTCCCCGCAGGGAAATCGAGTTCCTGAAGAAGGAGACGGCGCAGCGGAGGGTGCTGGAAGAATCAGAGCTGGCGCACAAGGAAGAGATGGAGAAGCTGCAGGAGAAGGTGGGCACCGGGTGCCGGGATGCGGGCTGCCCCTGAGCCCCGGGGCCACCGTGGGCAAGGCCGGATCCGGCCATGGCTCCACCGCCGCCCGGTCCCGCTGCACCGCCGCTCCCACCTCGCCGCTCCCGCCATGGATCGCAGGAATTCCGCTCTGCTCCTCATCCCACGTTGGGCAGCAATGGATCTGCCCAACCCAACGGATTCTGCTCCCATTGTCCCGGATCGAGGGGATCCGTTTGGGCGCTGCCCGATCCTCCTCCAGGCGTTTGGATGCCGCACGGGATGGCGGTGGATCTGCCCAGACCTTGGGCTGTGCTGGATCCTGCAGGGTCTGACGTTCCCCCCCATGGACCAAAAGAGATTGTTTTGGGTGCCGGATCCCGGGCTGCGCTCATGGGATCCCACAATGGGTCCTGGCAGATGTGTGCGAGGCTCTGGGTCAAACCTGATCCTCAGCCTGGAGCCGGGTCCCATGCTGGTCATGTTGGATCCCACCGTGGGTCACGCTGAGATTCCATGCTGGCTCCACCAGATCCCAACCAGGGATCAGAGAGCTGTGCTGGGTCATAGCAAATCTCCTACGGGGTCACCGCATCCCCCGGGAGCCCGGAGCACCTGGGAAGTGCCATTGGTTGCGGTGTGGGGCCGGGGGGCACCAGGGGACCCTCCGTGTTCCCCTCCCTTCCTCAAACACCCCCAGATGACGCACAGCCTCTCACCCACCAGCTGGCTGCAGCCCCCCATCCCCGCCCCCCAATCCCACACTGTCCCCCCAATACTCCACCCCGTTCCCCTGTCTGCGCTGTTCCTCCCTAATCGTGTCTCCATCCTTTCCCCCTCGTCCCCCACCCAGCATCTCCGTGTCCCCCCCCCATTGCGTCCTCCAAGTTCTGTCCCCCCATCCCCGTCTCCACGCCCCCATCCCACGCCTTCCACACACGGTGTCCCCATCCTCTTGTCGTCCGTCCCCCCCCCAGCCCCACGTTTCCTCCCCACATCCCCTCCGTGCCCCCCACCCCCCCCCCCTCTGAGACCTCTCCCCTTTGCTGTTTTTCAGATCTCCGAACTGGAGGCCAAGCTGCAGACCTTGAAAAATTCCAACCCGACTTAAACCACCCTCAAACCGCAGCGATTTGGGGGGGCGCGGGGGGGTTTGCCCCTCTCCCCTCAGCCCCTCTGTCCCCCATTCCCACCCCTTCTCACTGGGGGGGGGAGGTGAGATCCCAGCAAGGCCTCCTGGTGCCCCCCACCTCCCATTGGGGCACACAGAGAAGGGGGAGGGGGGATGCAAACAGGGTTTTATTTGGGGGGGGGGGCGGACACCCCACATTCGTGTCTGTCCAGTGTGAGTCTCGTGGTAACGTGATGGACTGGTTGGGGGGGGGGCACGACCCCCACAGGCCTCCCCCTCCCCAAAAGCGCCCTCCTCTCAATGTGACCCCTCCCCCTCTCCCCCCCCCCCCCTCCCTGGACATTGTTGAGGGGGGGCAAACAGAAATCATCTCCCTCCCCCAGAAATGTGAACCGTATTGAGGAGAAAAAGGGGGTAGGCTGGAAGCCCCCCATCGCCACCCCCTCCTCTTGGGACTCCATTGGAGCACTGTCCGGGGGGGGCGGGGGGGGAGGGGGTTGCCTTTGTGTGCCCCCACATGGAATTGCCCCCATCTCCCCCCCCCCCCGCACTGAGCTAGGTGCTGGGACCCCTCAGCCCCTCTATATTGGGGGGGGGTCCACCGCCCCCCCCGCCCCATACACACCCACTGCCACCACTGAGGTGCTGGGGGGGGGGGGGGACACGGGACACACGCACAGAGCCTTCGCCAAGCTCTGCCCTTGCCAACCTCATCCTCCCCCAGCCCAGGGCTTTGCCTTCCCTGCAGGGGGGGGGCACGGGGATCCCGCTCCAGTGAGGGGAGCAACGCCAGGAGGTGGTGCCCCCCCCCCCCCCAATTGTAAATACACCCCCAGTAAATCACAGTATTTCTCTGGGGCGCCCCCCCCCTCCCACCCCCCCACCGGAAGCCCCCTCCCCTCATCCTGTGGTGGTGGTGGCGGCGGGGGAACCCCTTTAGTTTTTGTTTCTATTTGCCCCCCCCCCCCCCCCCACTCCTCCCCCCCCCAAAGTACTGAGTCTCCGACAGTAACTGGATGTGGGGGCAACTGGGAGCCAGCGGCGGTTATACTGGGAAGGGGCAGAGAGTTGGGGGGGGGTGGGGAGGGGGGCAGCGGGGTGGTGGGGAGGGGGGATCCGACTGGATTGGAGCCACATTGTGGGAAGGGGAGGGAGGGGGGGGGGGAAGTATTTAAGGGGGGGTCGGGGAGCGCGAGCCCCGGGGGGGTGCTGGGGTTATTTAATCTCACACGTATACCTGTGGGTGTATATACTATATATATATGTACGTATGTATGTACCGGTCCTCGTTTTGTAACGCAACGTCCTCGCATCCCCCCCCCCCCCCCAGCCCTGCACCCCCCCTCCCCCCCCCCCCCCCACAGATAAACGCACCTCATTGTCCCCCCCCAGCTCCTCATTGTCACGCCGGAAGGGAAGTGAGAGGGGTGGGCGGTTGGGGGGGGGGTTTCTGGGCAGGATGGAGGCAATGGGAGGAGTGGGGGGTGATGGGGAGGGGGGGCACTGGGAGTTGTGGGGGGGAGGACTGGGAGTGATGGGGATCAATGGGAGAAGGGGGAAGGATAGGGACTGGGAGAACTGGGGGGGGGGGGTCAGTGGAAGGAGTGGGAAGGATGGGGAGGATTATGGGGGATGGGGGGGGCACTGGGAGGGATGGAGAGGGAGAAGTGGGGGTCAATGGGAACAGTAGGAAGGATGGGGGGGGCATTGGGCGGAACGGGGGTCGCTGGGAGGCTGGGAGGGGTGGGGAGGACAAGGAAGGATTGTGAGGGGGGCACTGGGAGAACTGGGAGGGATTGGGGGATACTGGGAGGACTGAGGCGGGTCGCTGGGAAGAATGGGAGGCTGAGGGGGGGGAGGCACTGGGAGGAGAGCGAGCGATCCGGGGGGTGCAGGCAGGGTTGGGAGGGATGAGCGGGATGAGGGGCATCGGGGGCACCGGGACCTCCGCGCGTTCAGGGGGGGCACGGCGGGGTTGAGGGGGGGGGGGAGTGGGAGGGGGAGGGCTGCGGGGGGGGAGGCTGCTCGTGCAAGCCGAGTGCGCGCGTGCAAGGGGCGTGCAAGCCATGCGCGTGCCCGCGGCGCTGCCGGGCGCTGTCCGTTCAGCACCACGAGCACCGCACCGCACCGGGCAGGGCGGGGCGGGGCGGGGCGGCGGATCCCTGCCCCCATCTTTCCCCTCCCCCCCCCCCCCCCTCCCCAGCTCCCTCCCCACCCCCACGGCCGCTTCCGGGTTCCTGTCCCCCCTCCCACTCTTGATTCCCCCCCCTTCCCCCCCCCCCCGCGGCCCCCGGCCCGGCGGGGTGGCCCCGCTCCGCAGCGCCCTCCGCTTTGCTCGGCTCGGTTCGCCCGATTTCCAACAGCCCCGGCCCGGCTCAGCTCGGCCCGGTTCGGCCCCGACCCGGAGGGGGGGGGAGGCGCCCAGGATGCCCGAGGAGCGCGGGTGAGTGGGGAGGGGAGCAGGGCGTAACCCCCGGGCGGGCCCATCCCCGTAGAGCATCCCCGGTACACCGCCACCCCCATGGAGCATCCCCGGTACACCCCACCCTCGGTACACCCCCATCCCCACACAACATCTCCTCTCCCCCCCCTTCCCCCCCCCCCGTACGTTCCCTTACCGCCGCCCCCTCCCAGCATTGGCCTCCCCGGGGGTAGGGAGGAGTCGGGTTCACATCCCCCCCCCTCCTCTCCCCTCCCCTCCCCTTCCCGCCCCAATGCCACCATTCGGAGCTCCCCCCAGCTGTGACATCCCCCAAAACATTGGGGGATTTAACCCCTTCCTGACCGGTACATAAATACTGACATCATTATTCATCCCCCCCCCTTCCTTCCTTGCCTCCCCCCTTCTGCTCCCTGCCTGTTCCCCCAGCCCGGTCCCACCATGTCGGTCTCCAAGCTGCAGGATGCAGATGAGGTTTTCGGTGAGTTCCCTGGGGGCTGTGGGGTGCAGCAGCCCTGTGATGGGGGCTGTCCCCCACACGGCCCCCCTCAGGTCCCCTCGATGCCTTCCTGCCTGCCAGTGGTGATGTGAGGGGGGGTCACCTCGTGGGGACAGCGTGCGTGTGGGCATCGGGATGGAGGGGACACGCATGGGGCATATAGGGCAGCAGGGGTGTGGAGTCGTGTAGGGCAGAGGGACACGTTGGGATGGGTGTAAGGATGAACGCAGGACAGAGACGTGGGGATGCTTATAGGGCAGTGGTGAGAGAAGGACAAACAAGAGGCACAAAGACACACTTTTGGGCCACCCGGGTTGCGCTCAGAACCACGGCGACACGGGGACGCAGCAGGGGACGTGGCACAGAGCCACACGTGGGGTTGGGGCACAGCAGGGTGGTACTCAGCCCCTCAGCCATGGGGTGACCCCACGCAGAGCACCAGGCCCATGGCTGATGGGGACACCCCACACCGCACGCACCGGGCCTCTCTTTGAACTCTTCTTTCTGTCCCTCCTTCCCCTGTCCCCCCCCTTCCCCCCCCACCGCGGTTCCCCACCCACCCACATCCCCAACACCCTCCTTCCCCTTTTGCCCTTCCCACTGGGATCCCGTTTGTCCTCTGATTCCTGCCCTACCTCCAACGCCCTGCTGTCCCTCTGTCCCTTCTGCACCGGGCTGTTCTTTTCCTGACTGCATGTCCATCTGTCCCTCCACTGCTGTCCCATCCCATGTCCTAACCTGACCTTACCCATCCATCCATCCCTATCTCTTATTCCTTATCCAACCACCCATCCATCCATCCATCCATCCATCCATCCATCCACATCCATCCAACCATCCATCCATCCATCCATCTATCCATCCATCCATCCATCCATCCATCCATCCATCCATCCATCTGTCTACCCATCCCTATTCATCTGTCCACCCATCTGTCCATCCATCCCCACCCATCCCCATTCATCCATCCATCCATCCGTCCATCCATTCCCATCCCTCCATCCCCATCCATCCCCATTCATCTATTCATCCATCTCCACCAATCCTGATGTCCCCATCCATCCCCATCCATCTGTCCATCCCCCCATCCATCCCCATCCCTCCATCCCCATTTATCCATTCATACCCCATCCCCATCCCTCCATCCATCCCTATCCATCCCCACCAATCCCCGTCCATCCGTCCATCCATCCCCATCCATGCAACTCTGCCCACCCGCATGTCCACCCATCCGTCCATCCATCCCTACCCGCACACCCCCTCCCCCTGTCCCTCCCCTGTCCGTCTGTCTGTCCGTCTCTCTCTCTCTGCCCCGGTCTCTCTTTCACCCCCAGATTTTACCGCTGTGGTTCCAGAGACGCCGCGTTTGGACAGCAGTTTGCAGAAGGCTCGAGCCCGGCTGTTAGCCAAGAGCCGGAGGCACCGGCCCTCGCGCTCCCGCCTGCGAGACAGCGCCAGCTCCACCGAGGGCGAGGAGGGGCTGGAGGCGGCGGTGAGAGCCGGGGGGCACCGCGCCCAGGGAAGGACGTGGGGAAGGGGACGGTGGGAGGAAAGAGACGCCTCTGGGAGGGGGGAACCGATGGAGGGGGTTGGAAGCCCCCAGGGGGAGACCGACGGGGGGGGGGATTGACCCCTCCCCCCCCCTCCACCCTGCCCTGTGCCCCCACCCAGGGAGCCGAGGGCAGCCCTGCAGCCCCCGGCCGTTCGCCCCCCGCCGCTCCGCTGCTCCTGGCCCCCTCGCCCTCCTCCCGCTCGGAGTTCTCCTTCGAGGCGGGGGCGGTGTGCAGGGTGTTGGGGGATCCCCCCCCGGCCCCCTCGCCGCCCCTCGGCCGCTATCGGCCCCTCACCAACGCCTCGTCCCAGGAGGGGCTGGCGGGGACACCTTCGCCCAAGTCCTGCCCCAGCTCCGACAGCTCGCCCGGCTTCGCCCGCCGCGATGCGTGGCTCCAGCGGCACAGCGAAGGTGAGCTCCTCCCCCCCCGGCCCCCTGCCCACATCCTGGCGTGGGGGGCGTAGGGTGACACCCCATCCTCATCCCGCAGATGATAGCAGGGACATGAGCCCCCCCGAGCCGGCCAGCCCCACCGTGGGGCTGGATAAGAAGACAAGGAGAAAGTTCCTGGATTTGGGGTGAGAGCCAGAAGTGGGGAGGGTTGAAGGATGGGTGGTGGGGAGCGGTGGGAATGTGGAGGAGGGGTCTCCATAGAGGTGTGGAGACGGATGGATGGATGGATGGATGGATGGATGGAGGGAGGGATGGATGGATGGATGGATGGATGGATGGATGGATGGATGGATGGAGGGATGAGGGATGGATGGATGGATGGATGGATGGATGGATGGATGGATGGATGGATGGATGGATGGATGGATGGAGGGAGGGATGGATGGATGGAGGGATGGATGGAGGGATGGATGGATGGATGGAGGGATGGAGGGATGGATGGATGGATGGATGGAGGGATGAGGGATGGATGGATGGATGGATGGATGGATGGATGGATGGATGGATGGATGGAGGGATGGATGGAGGGATGGATGGATGGAGGGATGGATGGAGGGATGGATGGATGGATGGATGGATGGATGGATGGATGGATGGATGGATGGATGGAGGGATGAGGGATGGATGGATGGATGGATGGAGGGAGGGATGGATGGATGGAGGGATGGATGGATGGATGGAGGGATGAGGGATGGATGGATGGATGGATGGATGGATGGATGGATGGATGGATGGAGGGATGGATGGATGGATGGATGGATGGATGGATGGATGGAGGGATGGATGGATGGATGGATGGATGGATGGATGATGGATGGATGGATGGATGGATGGAAGGATGGAGGGATGGATGGATGGATGGATGGATGGATGGATGGATGGATGGATGGATGGATGGAGGGATGGAAGGATGGATGGATGGATGGATGGATGGGTGGATGGGTGGATGGATGGATGGATGGATGGAAGGATGGATGGATGGATGGATGGGTGGATGGATGGATGGGTGGATGGATGGATGGATGGATGATGGATGGATGGATGGATGGATGGATGGATGGATGGATGGATGGGTGGGTGGGTGGATGGGTGGGTGGATGGACAGATGGATGGAGGCTGTGGGGAGCACAGCCCCTGGGAACCCAGCTGTCCACCAAAGCAGCCCCTCCCACACAGGGTCACCCTTCGCCGGGCATCCTCCAGCAAGAGCCGCAAGGAGAAGGGCAGCAACCGCCTGTCCATGGGCAGCAGGTTGAGACCCCTACCCCACATTGGGGGCTGCCAGGCCCTGTGCATCACAGGGGGCAGCTCTGGGACCCTAACACAGCTCTGTTCCCAGGGAGGTGTCAGAAGGTCCCGGCCGCCCCTCGGGGTCACCCTTCCTGCCCTTCTCCTGGTTCTCAGATGGTGCCCGGGGCTCAGCCTCACCTGGCTCTGCATCACCCACCAGTTCCCCCCGGCACGATGGGCTCAGCCCTGCCAAATCTGCCTCCCAGGTCAGTGCCAGTGGTCTCCAATCTCCATTGGGGTGGGTGGTTGTAGGGACGGGAGTACAGGAGCCTTACAGGGCCAGGATCCAGGACTCAGTGCCCCTATGGCTCAAGCAGTTATAGGGGAAGAGGTCGAAGTCCCTAGGATTTGAGTCACTATAGGGACAAAGACCCATATGGTCAAAATGGCCATTGGGGAGAAGTTCAAAGCCCTGTAGAGTGAAGGAAGTTACGGGGAAGGTGAGGATCAAAGCTCCATAGGGTCGAGATACCTATAGCAAAGGGGGGGAATCAAAGACCTGTAGGATCAAGCTAACTCTAGGGGAAGGGATCAAAGCCCTATAGAGTCAGGACACCTTTGGGGGGAGGATGGAAGCAGCATAGGATTGGGTAGGGGAGGGAATCGGAGCTCAGTAGGGTAAAGAGAACTGGGATGTCGGAGCCCAGCAGGGAGGATGGCTGCAGGAAGGGGGCTGGGGGGCTGCATGCTGCTCTGGGGTCCAGCCCTTGCTCCTCTCGCTGCCCCATAGGACTCAACGCTGAGTGAGGACTCCCCACCGCCCAGCTCCAGCCCTCGTCTGCCCGGCCCTGCTGCCACCAAGTGCTCCTACCCCTACCACACGCTGTCACAGTCCTCAGACGAGGTGAGTCCCAGAGGTGGGGGAATGAGTTTGATGCCATTGGGTGCCACACGTCCCCTGTTAACACCTGGATCACACACCCAGTTCCTGGATGAGCCCCCCGGCGCGGCCATGGGCTGGACGTGCCACCAGGTCGGGCAGTGGCTGGAGAGCCTCAGCCTGGAGCAGTACGTGGAGGAGTTCTCGGCTCATGGCATCGATGGCCCCCGGCTCCTGCACCTCGATGGGGCCAAGCTCAAGGTAGGGAACTTGAGGGTTCCTACACCTGTGGGGGGTTTCAGGGATGCATGAGGCAAGATCTTCTAGGCGTGCCAACAAGGTGCTCCACGGGGTAGGAGGTCTGTGAGGGTTCTAGGTACCCCAATTGACTCATCAGAAGATAAAAGGCTCTAGGTACCCCAACAAGCGACTCTGTCTATGGGATGGGATGTCTGAGTGGGTTCTAGATCCCTTAATGGACTTCTTCAACAGGGCAGGTTTAGTTGGGGTCTAAGTACCACAACAGGCAGCTCTATGGGGTAGGAGATCTAGGTGGGTTCTAGGTAACCCAATGGATGCAGAGGACACCAGGTTCTAGATGACCCAACAGGCAGCTCCATGAGACAGAGACTGGGAGGTTCCAGGTTCACCAACGGGCTCCTCAAAGGACAACAGGTTCTAGGTACCCCAACAGCCTGCTCCACAGGACAGCTGTGGGTTGGCTGTAGGCACATCATGGAGCTCAAAGGACAGCCGGTCCCACGTACCCCAACGAGCTGCTCTGCGGGGCAGAAGGCAGGACAGGCTTCAGGCAGCCTAACAGACTGGCTTCTAGAGCCCTCACAGGGCTGGTGAATAGGGTGGAGGGGGGGGGGGCAGACCCCGAAGCTGGGCTGGGGGGGGCCGCGTGCCCCTTCTGGCAGCGGTGTGCTGGCAGGCTCTGGGCGTGGGCAGCTCTCAGGATCGCGCCGTGCTCAAGCGCAAGCTGAAGGAGCTGAGCCTGGCAGCGGAGAAGGAGCGCAAAGCCCAGGAGAAGGCGGAAAAGCAGCGGGAGAAGCAGAAGAAAAGGGACCAGGAGCAGCGGCGGAGCTAGGGGGGGGGGGGGGAGGGGGGGGCAGGAGAGAGCCCCCAGACCCCATCCCTTGCCCACAGCCATCACCCCAGGGGACATCCGGTCCCGGCATGGCGCACACCGTGGCCGAGGGACCGCGGTGCCAGGCTGAGATGGGCACAGAGCGACACGGGTGTCCCCCCCCGCCTGCACCCCTGCACCCCACAGGCACGCAGCGGACCCCCCCTCCCCCCGTGGGCCCCTCTTCCGGATGCAAAGAGCACGTTGGACACCCCCCCCCCCCCCCACCCCTCTCTCCATCTCATTTCCCCCCCTCAATCCCAGCTAATCCTCCCCACCCCAAGGGGTCTGGGGGGGGTCACTGCCATCCCTCGTCCACCCCTCAGCGCTGCGGCACCAACCGAGGACAGTGCATGGCCTGACCCCCCTCCTCCCCCCCCAGACACACATCCCCAGTTGAGGTGTGGTAAGCAAATGCTGACCCCCATCACCCCCCCACACCCCTCATTCAGCCCCCGGCCCGCTGGCGGCATGGGACACCCCCAGGAAATAAAAGGGTCTGAAGGGCCAGTGCAAAGCGACCAGAGTGAGCCTGACTGGTGGGGTGAAGAGGGGGGAAGGGGGGGTTCTGTGCTGGAGTTGGGGGAGTTGGAAGAGAGCAGCTCCTGTCCCCAAACCTGGCTGTCCCTCCCCCTGTCACCACCACCCCCAGGTGCCACCCTATGACACCCCCAACCCCATGGGGATCCCAGGGTGGGGAAACTGAGGCACAGAGAGCAGGAAGAAAGGGCTTTGCCGTGGGGAAGACACAAAGAGGGGGGGGTGAGAGACCAAAAAACCACACCAGGCACTCAGTCAACACCCAATTTACTGTCAGCATTGGGGGAGGGAGGGGGGGCAGAATCCCTAGAAGGTCAGGGCATGCTTGGGGGGGGGGGGAGGTCAACCCCTTAGAGGGTATGAGGGGGGGGAGGGGGCAACCCCTAAGGGGGCATGGGGGGGGGGGGGGGGGGAGGGAGGGGGCACACAGGGGTGAGGACAACTCAGTAGTGCAACGCAAGGAGTTTTGGGGTGGGGGGGTCCCGTCCCACAGCCAGTGCTGCCGGGGGAGAGGGGGGGGGTTACAAAGTGCTGCTGCTCAAACTGGTCTGGGGGGGGGGGGGGGAGAGGCCCTCGCTGCCCACCGTGGGGCAGGCATTGAGGCTGATGGGCTGGAGACAACAAGGGCTTCCCCCTCCTTCTCCTAATGCCCCACTGCCACCCCCCAGCTCCTGGACCTGAGTGCCGGCGCAGTGGGGGTCCAGGCGGTGCCCCCCACCCTATGGCACACGGTAGGTGGAGGTGTTCTTGGGTTCGGTGCTGGGCACGCACCAATCCCCTGCCTCCTGGCTGGCCTGGTAGTGCCGCCACGCCGACTTGTTGTACACCGGCAGCCGCTCCACCGAATCCGTGGAGAGAGCCTAAGGCACAGGGGGGGGAGAATTGGGCAAGGCCCCAAAGGGATCCCACAGAGGGGAAGGGGTGCGGGGAGGTCGCCCCCACCTTCAGGTAGATGACGGCGTCGGTGCCGAAACCCTCCATAGAGAAAAGCTGCAGGTCCCCCTGGAAGTACTTGGCGTACAGGCGGGAGATGGGCAGCCCGTACCCAAAGCCGGCCTGTGGGGTGCAGGCAATGGGGGTCAGCACCCAAAACACCCCCCTCCCCACCCCCCCAGCACCGCGGGTGGCACCGCATGAACGCTGCTGTCTGTGTGCCACCCCAGTGCCGCATCCCCTGAGGTCGCTGCCAAGTCCCCAACCTCCATCTGCCGCCCCATGCACTCTATAAGACGGCCCCACACCAGCCCCAAAGGTCCACGTGGCATCCCAGAATACTCCCATGCCAGCCCCACGCTCACCCATCTGACCCCACGCGTCCCCACGCCGCTCCACGCGTGCCCAGAGAACCCAGTCTGCTGCAAAACCTCACCGTGGTGACCCCAAATACCCCCCTGCAACCCCAAAATACCCACCTGTAATTCCAAAACCTCACCATCCCAACCCCAAAATACTCCCATGTCACCCCCAAACCTCACCACGCCAACCCCAAAATCCCCCCCTGTGACCCCAAGACATCCAAGTGCCACCCCCTCCCCCCAAACCTCACCGTGCCACCCCCAAAATGACCCCACTTAACCCCTAAGCCTCACCATGCCAACCCCAAATATCCCCATGCAACCCCAAAACCTCACCATGCTGACCCCAAAACACTCCCACGTAACCCCAAAGTATCCGATTGCCACCCCCACACCTCACCACGGTGGCCCCAAAATACCCCTATACCTAAATACCAGTGGTGACCCCCCCAGGACCTTTCTGTCCCCCCAAAACCTCACCATGCTGATCCCCAAATGCCCCCCATCACCCCAAAATACCCCCATGTGACCCCAAACCTCTCCATGCCAACCCCAAACCCGACCACGTCACAGCAAAGCGCCCCAAAATGAACCATGCCCACACAGCTCCAGGCACCCCTAAATGTCCCCATGCCACCTCCCCAGTGCCCCCAAATGTCCCCAGTGCCTTCTCCCAAGCACCCAAAAGTCCCCACGATACTCCAAGAGACCCCAAATGTCCTCATTGCCACCTCCCAAGTGTCCCCAAATGTCCCCATGCTACTCCAAGTGACCCTCAGTGTCACCGGGGCCACCTCCCAAGTGTCCCCAAATGTCCCCATGCCACTCTAAGTGACTCCAAAGGTCATCAGTGCCACCTCTCAAGTGTCCCCATGTCATTCCACTGTTACCAAATGTTCCCATGCCACTCCAAGTGTCCCCAAACGTTCCCAGTGCCACCTCCCATGTCCCCAAATGTTCTCATGCTACTCCCATTGACTCCAAGCCACCTACCAAGTGTCCCCATGTCACTCCAGGCATTACCAAATGTCCCCATGCTACTCCAAGTGACCCTCAGTGCCACCAGGGCCACCTCCCAAGTGTCCCTACCTGTCCCCATGCCACTCTAAGTGACTCCAAAAGTCATCAGTGCCACCTCCCATGTCCCCAGATGTCCCCATGCTACTCCAAGTGACCCTCAGTGTCACCAGGGCCACCTCTCAAGTGTCCCCAAGTGTCCCCACGCCTCTCTAAGTGACTCCAAAGGTCATCAGTGCCACCTCTCAAGTGTCCCCCTGCCACTCCAAGTACCCCCAAACGTTCCCAGTGCCACCTCCCATGTCCCCAAATGTTCTCATGACTCCAAGCGTCCCCACTGCCACCTACCAAATGTCCCCATGCCACTCTAAGTGACTCCAAATGTCCTCATTGCCACCTCCCATGTCCCCAGATGTCCCCATGCTACTCCAAGTGACCCTCAGTGTCACCGGGGCCACCTCCCAAGTGTCCCTAAATGCCCCCACGCCTCTCTAAGTGACTCCAAGTCATCAGTGCCACCCCCAGTGCCACCTCCACACCCCCAAATGTCCCCACGCTACTCCAAGTGCCCCCAGATGTCACCAAGCCATCCCCAAATCCCCCCAGTGCCACTTCCCCACCCTGAGGTCCCTCCCCACCTACCAGGGGGGCACCGACCATGGGGGCCCCCCCTTCCCCCAGCTGTGGGGTGGGCGCCGTGGAGTACATGTAGCTGAAGAGACGCTCGATCTTACGCAGGGGGACACCCAGACCCCGGTCACTCATCTGCAAGAGGTGACAGACGGTGACAACGAGCCCCCTGTGTGACAAGCAGGGATGGGGAGGGGACCGGGGCGGGGGGGGGGGGGGTGACCCTGAACACACCTTGATGGAGACGTCCTCCTGTCCCAGGGCCACCAACACGTGGATGGGTGGCAGACGGGGGCTGTTCTCGTGGCTCTCCACGGTGGCTCTCATGGCGTTCTATGGGCAGGGGGCTTTAGGGACCCCCTGCAGATCACACTGGACACCCACTGGGCATCCCGCCATACACCCACCAGAAACCCCTTGGACACCCCCCACCCCCAAATACCCCACTGGACCCCCCTTCATGAGACCCTCCCTCCCCCCCCCCCCAGACACCCACTGGACCTCCTGCTGGACACCCCTCTGACACCCCCCAGACCCCCCCCCCAAACAACCCACAGGACACCCCTCAAACACCCCACTAAACATCCCAGCAGACAGACATCAGATAGACGCCCCCCAGACACCCCCTGGATGCCCCCTGTGGACCCCCACCCCCCCCCCTCAATCCCACCAGACCCCCCCAGACACCCATCGGACACCTATTGGACAACCCCCCCCCCCCGCCCCCATACACCCCCTGCACACCTCCGCAGCCCCCTCTCCCCACCCCAAACACCCCCCAGACACCTACTGGACACCCCAAACACCCCCCAGCCCCCCACCCACCCCCTCAACCCCCCCCTCCCCAATTTGCAGCCTCACCTTGAAGAGCTCGAACAGCATATGGTAGAGGTGTGAGGGGACGTAGACGATGCTGATGGGCTGCTGGGCATTGCTGGCTGCAGGGCACACATCAGCCTCACCACCTTCCCCAACCCCAACACCCCAAAATCCCCCCTCTGCCCCCTCCCCAATTCCCTATAGGGTCGCCCCCTACCCCCCCCCCCCCCCAAGCCCTCACCGTTCACCTCCTCGATCTCCAGGTCAGGAGAGGCCATGTAGTATTTGTCACACAGCAGCTTGGCCATGTTGTAGGCGTCTGCAGAAGGCAATGCAGAGGGGGGTTCCCATCAGGTTTGGGGGCTCCTTTATTTTTGTATCCCCCCCCCCCTGTAAATAGTTCATTTTTGGACCCCCAATGGACATTTTTGGACCCCATTTTTGGACCCCAATGCAGACCTGCTGACCCAACTCATGACACAGATGGCTCCCGGATGGAAAGATCCCACAGCAGGGAGATCAGAGAGACCCTCAGCTGCTGGAAAGGCCTCTCCCCCCCCCCCCCTTCCTCTTTGACCCCCCCACCCCATACTTTCACACCCCATACTTTCACACCCCAAAGTCCCACACACCTCTCACCACGCTGGCCACGCTGCAGTGGGGGTCGATGCTCCCAATGTGTTTGGGGTGTGCTGGGTTGGTGCTGCCATCAAAGAGCAGTGCTGGGGGGGCACAGAAAGGAGGGGAGGGGGGGTTAGGACCCCATATATCATCCCTGTAGGACCCCCAGATCTGCCCCCTTCAACCCTCCGCTGCACCCATCTATGCCCAAGGGTGGATTTAAGGCGGGTGGGAATGTGGGGGACAGGGATATAGAGGGGCAGGGGATGGATATGGGGCAGGGCATGGTGCTGGGGGATGGGCAGGGGACACGTGGGGATGGGGGGGGACACCTATGGGGGTGGGGACAGCTGAGGGGGTGGGGGAGGAGCACCTGGAGGTTGGGAAGGGGACATCTGGGGGTTGAGGGGGGGGGGGGAAGGGGGGTCACAAATAGGGGTGAGAGGAGACACCTGAGGGTTGGGGGGGGTCACAAATAGGGGTGAGAGGAGACACCTGGGGGTTGGGGGGGTCACAAATAGGGGTGAGAGGAGACGCCTGAGGGTTGGGGGGGGTCACAAATAGGGGTGAGAGGAGACACCTGAGGGTTGGGGGGGGTCACAAATAGGGGTGAGAGGAGACGCCTGAGGGTTGGGGGGACACCTGAGGGTGCAGCAGGATGCTTGGGATCGATGACCTCAGCGACCTTTAGGGTTGGGGGATGCTGATGTCAGGATAGCAGGGGGTGTCCAGGGCTGGTGGGGACACTCAGGTCCTAAGGGATGGTGGTGGATGGGGACGCAGGGGGTGACAAGAGATGCTCAGGGTTGGCGAGGATACCCAGAGCAGGAATGGGCCTCCAGAACCGACAGGGACAGCGGGGGTGGGAATGGGATGCTCAGAAGCACTGGGATGCTCTGGGGACGGCCAGCGCTGGTGGGGCACAACCAGGTGACAACAGAATTGGGAGGGGGGGACACAGAGGGGGGGGTGCAGGTGGGGGCACTCACTGTGCTGGTTGATGAGCATTCGGATGGAGATGCGGCTCAGGTAGAAGCGGTCGAGGAAGTATTGGATGTTCTGGTTGGACACCGGGTCGTCCCCATAGGCGTCCTTATACTCGATGACTCCCTGTGCCATGGTGGGCACCACGTCGTTGTGGCGGTTACGGATGGTGACCAAAGCATTGGTGAACCTGGGAGTGGGGGGTTTGAGGGGGTGGGGGGGGCTGAGGGGGGATACGGAGTGTGGGGCAGCTGGGGTTGGGGGGGGGGGGGGGATGGGGGTTCCCATAGGTGGGATTCTCCCCATAGGAGAATACAAAATGGGGCTGTGGTGCCAGAGGTGACGCTATGGGGGGGGTGGGGGGGTCACCCCACACTCACTGCCCCAGCGTGGTCTGGTCTTCAGGATCCTTGTCGAGGAACTCCATGATGTCCAGCAGGCTCTGCACGTACCTGGGGGAGGAGATGGTCACCCCACGGCCACCCCAAACGGAGGGGACACGGACAAAGGGACAGGGGCTCAGCACCCCACCTTACTAAACCACCCTGTGCTCACGGGGAGGGGGATTCGTGCTCGTGCCCCCACCCCACAGCATGGCAACCATGGGGACAGCAGAGACAGAGCCCCCCCCAGGAGGTCACAGCGATTTGCCCACCCCCCATACGTGTGCTTGAACAGAGGGGCACTGCCAGGCCCTGCTACCCCCCAACTGCCCCCCCCTTCCCCCCCCCCCAGTGCCACTGGCAGTGCTGGCACAGAGCTGAGGACACAAACAACTCATCACGTGGTGGCTGGGAGCTGGGAGCGGGGCCAGGCTGCCAGCACCGCCCTTAAAGGGACACCCAGAACCTGCCCCCAGCACACCCACACAGCCCCCCCCCGGCCAAGGGGAGAGAGGGGACAGCAGGGACAGGAGGACGGGGCAGCACCGTCGGTTGAGGACCCCTGTGAGTGTCCCCGTGCAGCCACTGTCACCCCAGGCTAAGAGATGGGTGCTGCTATGCGGGATGTCTGTGTCCTGTGCCACCAACCCCCACCAGCAGCCCATGGACCTGCTGGGGAGGACAGCTGGCAGCGGTGGCGGGGGGCACCAGAGGTGGCAGCAATGACAGAAGTCACAGTGGGATCAGTGTAGGCCATGGAGGTGGGACCCACAGGGACAGCAGGCAAGTGAGGGCAGAGGGACCTATGGGGGCACCCAGCAGGTGGTGGCAGTGGGATTGACCCCCCTGGGTGACAGCAGTGGGATCCATAGGGGCACAGGGCAGGGGACAACGGTGGACCCGTCCTGGTGACAGCAATATGAACTATAGGGATATATGGCAAGCGGTGGCAGTAAGACTCTCTGAGTGACAGCAGTGGGATGTATGGGGACAGCTGGCATGTGGTGGGAGTGGGACCCCCCTGGGTGACTTTGGTGGGACCCACAGGGGCATGTGGCAGGTGACAATGGTGGGACCCCCCCTGGTGACGGCAGTAGGACCCATGGGGCCATATAGCAGGTGGTGGCAGTGGGATCAGACACCTGTGGGTGACAGCAGTGAGACCCATGGGGGCATATGGTGGCAGTGAGATCCCCCTGGGTGACTGTAGTGACATGGGGCCACCTGGCTGATGATGGGACCCCTATGGGTGACAGCAGTGGGACCCACAGGAGCATACAGCAGGTGACATTGGTGGGATCCCTCTGGGTGACAACAGTGAAACCCAAGGGGGCACTTGGCAGATGGTAGCAGTAGGATCAGACCCCTATGGGTGACAGCAGTGGGATCCATTAGCAGATAGGTGACAATAGTGGGACCCCTCCAGATGACAGTGATAGGACCTATAGGGACATGTGGTGGCAGTGGGACCGGATCCGTACGGGTGACAGCAATAGGACCCACAGGGGCATCTGGTAGTGACAGCAGGACCCCACTGGGTGACTGTAGGGGGACCCATAGGGGCATCCAGCAGGTGGCAATGGTGGGCCCCCTCCTGGCGACAACAGTGGCACCCATAGGTGAATAGGGCCAACGACAGTGGTGGGACCCACAGGGACACCCAGCAGGTGGTGGCAGTAGGACCAGACCCCTGTGGGGGATGGCAGTGGGACCCATAGGGACACACAGCAGGTGCCAACGGTGGGACCCGTCCCGGTGCCACCCAGCAGCTGACGATGGGGGCGATGTCCCCACGCTTCTCTGCTCACCAGCTCTGCACCAGCTGCACGGAGGGGGTGCGCAGCACGCGGTCGGGCAGCAGGTTGATCTCCTTCATGATGTTGGAGAGGCGCACGGGCAGCTCCTGCCGCAGGAAGGCGAAGGATGTCTTCTCACAGGCATTGCTGGAGCCTGGGGGGGAGGCGGGAGGGGGGTCAGCAGCAGCCCTGCAGCTGGATGAGCCCCCGCCCCCCCCCCCAGCTCCTCATAGATCTTCCTCCAGTATTGGGAGCACTGAAGGCATGGGGGGCAGCTCAGCAGGAGAGAACCAGTACAGCCCAGTACAACCAGTGTGCCTTGATCATAGGGGATGAGGGCATTGGGTGCCATCAGATGGGGTTCACCCCACGGGGAGGTGGGGGGGGGGGGGGAGGTGTCACAGGGACAGACCCCAGGGAATGGGGACCAGGGGACAGCGCTGCAGTTCGGGGGGACGCGGGCAGGGGGACGTGGGCAGAACGCGGGGAGGAACCCGGCTGCCAACCTCAGCAGGGCAGGTAAATACGGCCCTGAGCTTAAATGCTGGGGGGGAGGAAGGGGTCTCAACCTGGGGACCACCCCCCTACCTCAGGTGTTTGCCGGCGTAGGGATGGCGGCCGCCGGGGGGGGGGGGGGGGGGGGGGGCGTGCCCATGGCGGGGGGGGCGTGGAAATCACCGGGCAGCCCCACCCCCGACCGGCTGTTTACGGACAGAGGGGTACGGACACACGGACACACGGACACGGCGAATTCAACAGGCCGAGGGAGGGGGAGGGGGGGGGGGGGGGAGGGGGGGGGGGGAGGGGCTGCCCTCTCTCCCTGCTGCACCCCGGTAGGGGAGGCACTATTCGAGGGGCCGTCACCGGGGTTGGGGGAGGGGAGGGGGAGGAGGGGGAGGAGCGGTACTCACCGAAGTCCAAGAACTGCTTCATGGAGAGCGGCGAAGGCGAGAACTTGCTGAAGTGCTCGATGTAGGTGGGCACCCCGGCCAGGGCCGCCCGCTTCCGCAGGCATCGCAGCAGCCGCATGGCCGCCCCGCGCCCCCCGGCCCCGCGCCCGCGCCCCCCCCCTCTGACCCCGCGCCCTTAGGCCACGCCCCCCCCGCCGCACGCAAACAACCCGCCCCCCCTCTCCGCCAATCACCGCCCTTCCGCCAATCAGCGGCCGCCCTGCAGCCGTGGCTGACGTGGGACACGCCCCTTAGCTGGCCCCGCCCCTTGATGGTCGGACCACGCCCATTCTTATTAACCCCTTCGTGCCCATCGCGCTCCCACTGCCCTTTTCCCACGGTTTAAGCCGCCCGGTCCCGCACACACCGCATGACTCCCCTCAATCCTAAACCCACGGGGGGTGGTGGTGGTTCTGCCCCATGCATGGGGACAGAACAGCTCCACTGTTGTCACGGCTCGCCTGCAGCATTTTCCCCTTTCAGGGTATTTCTTCCCCCCCCTTCTGACACACCCTTTCCCCTTTTGGGGCATCCATTCCCCCCCACCCCCTCTTTTTACTCCCCCACCCCCTCTTTTTACCCTCCCCCCCCCCTTTTTACCCCCACCCCGGAGCAGACAAGGGGCAGATGAGAGGTTACAAATCCCAGAGCGAGGCTTTATTAACCCCCAGCAGAGGGGGTGAGCATGGGCCGAGGTGGGGGGCACAGACCCCCCCCCCCAAACCCCAGTACCGATCCCACTCTGGAGCTTGACACAAAAACGCACAGAGAGACATGGAATAATTTAACCCCCAGAGCTGTGTGGATTTGGGGGGCAGCCCCCAGAGCCCCTCATAGGGGCTGCAGCTGCTGTGGGGGGAGGGGATGCACGACAAGCTCCCATCCTGCACCCACCCCCAGCAAGGGCTGAAGGTGCAGGATGAGGAGGAGAAAGCAGGGGAGGAAGGCACGAGCCCCCCCCCCCATAGCACAAAGCTGGGGGGAACCCCAAACCCAGCGCACAGGCAAAGTGTGTGTGGGGGGGGAAGGGTGTACGGGGGGGGGGGGGGGGAGCAGTGAGTGTGTCCCCATGTGCAAGGACGCGTCCCCACGTGCAACAGCGCGTCCCACCGCGGGGAGCCACCACAGGAGGGGGGAGAGCGTCAGCACAGGACCACGAGGAAGGCACTCAGGAGGAACCAATGGGGGCTGAGGGAGGAGGAGGGGGGGGGGGGGGGCAACACGAGGCTCCCCCCCCGCCCCCAAGCGTGGAAGAGGCACAGAGGTGTGCAAGGAGCACGCAAGCCGCAGGGAAGGAGCGATGCTGTGCTTGTGCAAAATCACACCGCACCCCCACCGCTGCCCTGTCCCGGGGCGGGGGGCTTGGAGCGGGGGGACGCGGGGGTCAGTAGTATTTGTCTGGCTGCTGCCAGCTCGTCACCCAGTGTTTCTTGCGCCGGGGGCCGGCGGGCGGGTAGCGCTGCTCCTGTCGGATCCGCACCGCGTGGTATTTGGGCATCACCCGGTAATAGCGAGTCCGCTGGAAGAAGTCACACTGCGGGGTTGGGGGGAAGAAAAAGAAATATAAATCAAGCGGCGGCGCGTGTGTGTGTGGGGGGGGGGGGCGGAAAGAGGCTCCGGAGTGGTGAATAGCAGAGCCGGGGGGGCAGAGAGACAGCAGAGCCGGGACCACCCCCCCCTCTTTCCCCCTCCCCCCCGTGCCCTCAGGGCAAGGAGTGGAGAGGCTGAAGAAGAAGAAGAGGAAGAAGAGGAAGAGGCCGTCAGGTGCCACCCGTGCGGGTGCGGGGCATTACCGGGCGGGCGGCGCGGGCGCCGGGGGGTGCAGTGGGGCTGCGTTTCCCCCCCCCCACCCCCGTTAGTAGTCGTCCGTCAGCCGCTCGGTTTCCGACGGCTGGATTCGCATCTCCGCCTTCTGCCCCTTGGCCTCGTACATTGCACGCGTGCTGGCCCGTCGGAAGAAACCGCACTGCGGGGGGGGTGGGGGGGTGGGGACGCGGTTCAGGGCACCTCGGGGACCCCGCGCCCTTCGAGGACCCCCAACCCCACCCTTGTCCCCGGAGGTGCCACACCGGGCTGAGGACGTTGGGGGGATGCTGGAGGTGCTGCCACCGCTCACCATCCCCGAGCATCCCTTGGTGTGGCTGTCAGCTCTGCACCCCTTCCTTCTGCAGGAAGGGCAGGGGGTAGAACAGCAGAGGGTGGGCGTGGAATGGGGCAGGGATGGGGTGGGATGGGGCAGGGAAAGAGGATGGGATGGGGAACGGGGTGGGATGGGATAGGATGGGGAACGGGGTGGGATGGGACAGGGAAGCGGGGCTGGACAGGGCAGGGGATGGGATGTGGATGCAGCAGGGAATGGGGCAGGATGGAGAAGGGACAGGGATTGGGGTGGGATGTGCCACCGGATGGGGACAGCACAGGTATGGGTATGGGATGGCAAAGCATAAGCTTGGCATTGTGTAACCTTAGAATCCCCCAAGCTGGAAAAGACTCGTAAAGATCAGCTCCTGGCACAGCACAGGCTATAGTGGCACAGCACAGATACGGGATGGCACAGATATGGGATGGCATGGCACAGATACAGGATGGCATGGCACAGATATGGGATGGCATGGCACAGCTGATACAGGATGCCACAGCACAGCACGGGCACATGTATAGGATGGCATGGGATGGCACAGCACAGGTTTAGACATGGCATGGCACAGCATAGGCAGGGAATGGCACAGCATGGACACAAGGTGGCACAGCATCGGCGTGGGATGACGCAGCACGGGCACACGTCTGGCACAGCGCAGCACGGATACGGGGCGGCACAGCACGGGGTGGATATGGCTATGGGACGGCGCACCGTCGCCTCCCCCCTTCTCACCTTCCACAGCAGCACAATGATCAGCCCCAGCAGCAGCAGCCCCGCCGCCGCCGCCACCAACACCAACCACAGCGCCACCTGCGGCGGCTGCTCCTCCGTCAGCTCCGAATCCACATCCACTGAGAACTGGTGACGGCAATTGGGATGGGGGGGGGGCACATGGGGAGCTGCCCCTCACCCTCACCCCACATCAGACCCCCCCCCCCATCCCATTGCTTACCCGCACCGTGTGGTTCCTCATGTTGATGGTGGGGACATGGGTGCGGAGGAACAGCGTGGCGGTGCCGTCCACCTTCACCCGGTCGAAGCTGCGGTATTCCTGGGGACAGCAGCACCGTGGGGACGGGGCTGAACTCCCCCCATCCCTCCCAAATAATCCCCTTCGGCCCCCCCCCCCCCTCCCTTGCAGCACTGACCTCGATGAAGGTGCTGTTCCACACTCGAGCGCGGACGCGGAAGGTTGCGGGGTGCTGCGCTGCAGGGACCGGGCACTCGAACCAAAGGCAGCGTGCTGTGCCTTGGGAGCAGCTCTAGGAGGGGGCAGGAGGGGACCTCAAGGTTGGTGGAGGGAGGGGGAAGGTGGGGGGACACCACCCCACATTGCCCCACGTTGGGATGGGGGGGGGGGTGGGAGGTGAGGGAAGTGCATGTGAATGCAGCGGGGGGTGCGCTGCGTGTGGGTTGGGGGTCACTGCACAGTTTTGGGGTCACTGCACACACAGATGTGCAGCTCGGGGTCACTGCACGCTTCAGGTCATTGCACACAGGCAGTTGGGGATCACTGCACACAGATGTGCAACGTGGAGTCACTGCACACACACAGCCTGAGGGCACTGCACACAGACGTGCAGTTTGGGGTCACTGCATGCACACAGAGCTGCACGTGCCAGCCCCAACTTGCTGCATGCACACACTGCTGCACGGTCAGTGCATGCAAACAGCTGCTTGCTCTGCAGGCTGCCTCCTGCACGATGTCCAAGCTGCTCACAGCACTCTGGCAGCAGACAGCTGCCTCCCAGTGGCTGCAGCCAGCAGTGTGTGCACCCAGCTGCACCCTGAGCTTGTCACATATGCCTGCAGCCCTCAGCCACCCTCTGCAGCCCCCAGCCACCCTCTGCAGCCCCCAGCCACCCTCTGCAGCCCCCAGCCACCCTCTGCAGCCCCCAAAGCCACTTTCTGCAGCCCACAGCCCTCCCCTGTAGCCCCCCTCACTTACCAGCAGCACTTCTGACTTGGCCTTCTTGCCTGTGGCCAAGGTAATGGGGGGCTCTCCAGGCTCAGCCCCCCCCAGCTCCCGTCGGTGCCGGGTGGGGGTCCCATCCTCCAGCAGCTGGGTGATGGTGAGGGGGGGGGCAAAACCCCCAAAGCCATCAGTGTGGGCACGGCCCCACGGCACAGGGTGAGCAAAACAAGGCCGAACCCAACACAAAACATGGGTACCCCCACCTGGTAGCCGCTCACCGTGAGGTTGAGGGGGTTGACGACCCCCCCGGGGGGGGCTGCAGGTGCCGTTGCCGTTGATTCGGATCTCGGTGGGGTACAGCAGCCATTTGCCATTGGGGATCTCATAGGGCCACTCGAAGCCCAGCACGATGGTGCCCAGCGTGCCCAAAGCCTCTCCCTTAGTCATCACCTGTGGGGAACAGCGTGGGGGTGGCACTGGGGGGATGGAGCCCCCCCAGCCCCTCACTGCTCCCCCCTCGATGTCCCCAGCCTCACCTGGAAGTCGAAGGCCAGTGGGCTGCCCACATCCTGCTCACTGCGCATGGCCGATTCGCCCATCACCGCCCCGCTGAAGTGGGACTGCAGGTGTGCGGGGGCTCTGGGGACAATTTGGGGGGTGGGGGTGTGAAGGGGAGGAGCGTGAGGCAGTGCTGTGAGATGGGGCTGTGCGGGGGGCTGGGGGCTGCGCTCACACGCTCAGCGAGGACTGCAGGCTGTAATCCACCAGCAGCTGGGCCAGCACGGGCTGCAGGTCGTCCTGCGTGCTCTGCCTGCACACAGTGCACCGTGTCAGTGCCAATGCCATCCCTGTTGCCCCCCAGCTCGGCGTGCATTGTGCCCCCCACCCTTTACAGGGCACCAACGCAGATGTATGCGTGCTGGATGCACAGATGCATTTCCATTCGAGCACAGGAAAAGCCAACGTCCCTCCCCCTCCCCTCCATCCCTTCTGGCACCCCCAGGGCGCCCAGCAATGCCCCCCACTCCAGGGTGCCACTCCAGGGTGCCCCATCCTGCCCACACTCCTCCCTCTGGCCCCTCCCAGAGCTGCAGCACTGATGGATGTGACACCAACACGTTCCCACCAAGCACAGGAGACCCCAATGTCCCCCCCAGTGCTGTTTTTCCCATCCCTTTGCTCCCCTCAGAGCCACCCTTTAAACATCCCCGTGTCCCCACCCTGCCCACAACCCCACCACATCAAGCCTCTCCCAGAGCATCAGTGCTGACGGATGCAACGCCAGCACTCCCCCACCAAGCACAGGAGACCCCAGCATCCCCCCCAGAACCATTTGCCCCATCCTCTCCCCCCCACGCCCCAAAACGGAGCCACTCACGTGGACAGATCCAGCCACACCGCCACCTCCCGCGTGTCCAGCGTGATGCCGATGGCCTCGAAGGTGATGATCAGCTCTGCCTGCAACAACCCCCCCTCCGTGGGTGTGGGGTGGTAGGGACCCCCCCCCTACAGCCTCTCCCTGCTCCAGGGCAGCACTCACCCTCTGGTTCCGTTTGAAGGGGTTGCCCAACTCGCACAGCACCGTCTCCGCAAAGGTGCACGCACCGCTCTGCAGAGGGTGGGAGGGGGGGGGGCATGAAAAAGGGGGCTCAGAGTGCCCCCCTCCTGGATCCCTTCCCAAACAGGGCGGGCAGATGGCACTCACGGGGCGGACAGAGGAGGGCAGGAGGCTGCTGGGCACCGTGATGTTGAGCAGAGCCTCGTGGGCATCCTCCCCATTGGAGGCAGAGGTTGGGGTGTTGGTGATGTTGATGCTCAGGTGCAGCTTGCGTGTGTCCCGGCTGTAGTGCAGCACCTGAGTGCCATTCAGCCTGGGGGGGGGAAGGGATGCTCAGCAAGGGGGTGGGGGCTTATGGGGACACCCACCCATGGGGACACCCAGTGCTACAGGGACATCTTTAGGGGAGAGAGAACCCAGAGTGGGTCAGGATCGGAATGCTGCAGTCATGAGGTGTTACAGGGTGGGCATGGGGTGGGATGGGGCAGGGAAAGGGGATGGGATATGGGCAGGATGGGATGGGATTGGGGAGGGATGAGGATTGGGGTGAGACAGGGCAGGGATGGGATGCAGCAGGGAATGGGAATGGGAAGGGCAGGGAATGGGGCCAGAATGTGGCATGGGATGGAGATAAGACAGGGCAGCACAGTTATGGGCATGGGATGGCATAGCATAAACTTGTTCTTTTATGATCTGAATCACGTGGACAAGTGCCCAGAGAGGCTGTGATGCCCCGTCCATCCCTGGAGGTGTTCAAGGCCAGGTTGGATGGGGCCCTGGGCAGCCTGGGCTGCTGTGAAATGGGGAGGTTGGTGGCCCTGCGTGTGGCAGGGGGGTTGGAGCTTCAGATCCTTGAGGTCCCCTCCAACCCTGGCCATTCTGTGTTCTGTAATCTTAGAATCCCCCAAGCTGGAAAAGACTCCTAAGGATCAGCTCCTGGCTCAGCACAAGCACAGGGTGGCACAGCACAGATATGGGATGGCACAGCATGGGCACATGTATAGGGCACAGCATGGCTACGTGTATGGGACAGTGCAGCACAGGATGGCAAAGCACAGGGTACAGAATGGCACAGCGTGGATATGGCTGTGGGATGGCACAGCATAGCCCTCATGTCATGGAATCATCAATACCCCGGGTTGGAAAGGACCCTTAGGGATCACTGAGCCCAACTCGTGGAGCAGCGTGGGCACAGAGTGGCACAGATATGGGATGGGGGGCACAGATATGGGGATGGGGGGCACAGACACGGGATGGGGGGCACAGACACGGGATGGGGGGCACAGACACGGGATGGGGGGCACAGACACGGGATGGGGGGCACAGATACGGGATGGGGGGCACAGATACGGGGATGGGGGGGCACAGACACGGGATGGGGGGCACAGACACGGGATGGGGGGGGCACAGACACGGGGATGGGGGGGGGCACAGACACGGGATGGGGGGGCACAGACACGGGGATGGGGGGCACAGACACGGGGATGGGGGGCACAGACACGGGGATGGGGGGGCACAGACACGGGGATGGGGGGCACAGACACGGATGGGGGGCACAGACACGGGATGGGGGGCACAGACACGGGATGGGGGGCACAGATAAGGGGATGGGGGGGCAGGGTGGGGAGCAGAGCACACAGCACCTGGGCAGGGGCTGGTTCTGCTCGGTGACGAAGGCACTCTGCAGCTGCAGGTTGCTGTAGCACTTGTTGTCGGAGCCGCACTCCTTCTGGAACTCCACCTGGCATGGGGAAAACCTCGGTCACATCCCCACCACCCCCCAGGCCCCCTCCCTGCACCCCCCCATAGCACCTTGGTCTCGTTCTGGTGGGACTGGTCCTGGTTGAGAACAGGGAATGCGTTGAGGGAGTGGGGGCCGAGCTGGAAGCTGCGGGGCTGCTCCACCAGTGAGTAGTTCATGGAGAGCACGATGGGGTGCAGCTTGTCACGGATGTTATCCTGCAGCAGGGAGGGACAAACTGCAGCCAAACCCCCCCCCCCCCAGTGCATCGATGCACAGCACAACGTCCCCTGGTGCACAGCGGTGCAAACACCCTCGTGCTCTCACCAGCAGCAGCAGCTCCTTGCTCTCGCAGCGTGTGTCAGGCATGCGGAAGGCGCCGCGGAACGTGGCCGAGTGCGTCCCCAAAAACCTCACCCTGGGGGGGGTGTCGCTCCTTGTCTGCCTCCAGGGTGTATTCCAGGGCTGGGGGGGAGGGGGATGGCACAGCAATGGGGCTGCAGCTCGCTCGTGTGTCCCCCCCCTTCACACACACCCCTTACACGTGCAAAGATACCCCTCTACCCACCTGAGCGCTCGTGCCCTCACAATGCACTTCCCCCCCCCCCCCCCCACGCACGCTGCCTTGCACCAACCCCCCCACGTGCACTCACTGATCCTCTCCTTGTACGTGGGGTCACCGGCGCTCTGGTTGTAGGCGAAGCAGACGGTCACTGTGATGCTGTGGGGGGGAGGGGGAGGCACTGAGCGGACCCATAGCACCGTGCTGCAGTGCTGGAGCCCCCCCCCTTCCCCCCCCCCCGTGCACAATTGCTCACCAGGAGTCAGGCGTGCAACGTGCAGGGTCCACTTTGCTGGGGGTGACGGTGAAGGTTTTGTCGAGGAT